TTTAATATTTATTTATTTTTGAGAGAGAGACAGCGCATGAGCAGGGGAGGGGCAGAGAGAGGGAGATGCAGAATCAGAAGCAGGCTCCAGACTCTGAGCTGTCAGCACAGAGCCTGATGCGGGGCTTGAACTCACAAACTGCGAAATCATGACCTGAGCCGAAGTTAGGCACTTAACGGACTGAGCCACCCAGGTGCCCCTCCACTACATTACTTTAAAGCAAATCCCAATTACCAGAAATCTGTAATTTCTTCTCTATGTGTTCTAAAAGATAAATACTCTGGGGGCGCCTGGCTGGCTCTGTTCGTCAAGTGTTCGACTTCAGCTCAGGTCATGATCTCACAGCTCATGAGGTTGGTGAGTTCAAGCCCTGCATCGGGGTCAGCTGGCAGTGCAGAGCCTGCTTTGGGTCCTCCAGCTCCCTCTCTTGCCCTTTCCCCATTAGTGCTCTTTTGCTCTAAGAAATAAACATTTAAAAAACGAGAGGTGGGGGGCACCTGGGTGGCTCAGTCGGTTAAGCGTCCGACTTCAGCTCAGGTCATGATCTCACGGTTCGTGGGTTCGGGCCCCACGTCGGGCTCTGTGCTGACTGCCAGCTCAGAGCCTGGAGCCTGCTTCTAATTCTGTGTCTCCCTCTCTCTCTGACCCTCCCCTGCTCACGCTGTCTCTATCTCTCTCTCAAAAATAAATAAAACATTAAAAATTAAAAAAAAAAAAACGGGAGGTGGGAGCTTGAGTGGCTCAGCTGGTTAAGCGTCTGACTTCGGCTCAGGTCATGATCTTGTGGTTTGTGAGTTCAAGCCTCACAAGTTGGGCTGTGTGCTGACAGCTCAGAGCCTGGAGCCTGCTTCAGATTCCATGTTTCCCTCTCTCTCTTCCCCTCCCCAACTCTCTCTCTCTGTCTCAAAAATAAACATTAAAAAAATTTTAATTAAGAAAAACAGGTAAACAATACTTTTTTTAAACCATAACTACCATCCCAGTATCACATCTAAAAAATTAACAATTACTTAACGTGATCAAATATCCAGCCATTCACATAATTTCCTTAATGGTCTCTTATTTTTTCCCAGTTGGTTTGTTTGAATCAGGATCCAAACAGGGTCCACACATTCCATGTGGTTCTCCCTCTTTCTCTCTCTTGCCATTTACCAGTTGAAGATTCTGGATCATCTCTCCTCTGGAATTTCCCAAATTCTAGGTTTCACCAGTGGTATCTCCCTGCTATCATTTGACATGCTTGTCTTCCTCCTGCATTTCCTGTGAACTGCTGCCTGGATCTGAAACTTCCCTTCTTTGAACAAAAGCAGGGGGAGAGAAGGGAGAGGGAAGGTGGCCATTATTTATACACCACCTACTATAGGCCAGGCGCTGTGTGGATTTTTTTTTTTTTTTTTTTTTAAGTAGGCTCCACACCCAGTGTGGAGCCCAACACAGGGCTTGAACCCATGATCCTGAGATCAACACCTGAGTGAGATCAAGAGTTGGATGCTTGGGGCACCCAGGTGGCTCAGTCAGTTAAGCATCTGACTTCAGCTCAGGTCATGACCTCATGGTTCGTGAGTTCCAGCCCCACCTCTGTGGGGCGCAGTGCCGACCACTCAGAGCCTGGAGCCTGTCTCCTCTCTCTGCGTCTCCCCTGCTTGTGCTCTTTCTCTCTCTCTCAAATAAATAAATATTTAAAAATATTTTTTTAAAGAGTTGGATGCTTAACTAAGCCAACCAGGCACCCCTGTGTAGATTCTTTATAAAAATTATCTCATCTAATTAATCCTCACCACGACTCTTTGAGGTAAGTGCTTATTATCGCTATTTTCTCAGATGAGGAAATCAGGATCCAGGAGGTTAAGCAACCTACCCATGCTCACAAAGCCAGAAAATGGGGGAGCTGGCGTTGGAACCTGGTTCTGTCTGACCCCAAAGGACCTTCCCTTTCCACTCTCCCGGGGGGGAAAGGACTTAGCCCATGAGTGGCAGTGCCAGGAAGGAAGCCTAGCTATCCTCACTCCAGTGACAACTTCAATATTAATAGTAGACACCGCAACTTCATATGTGGCAGGTGCCTCACATATATCCCAAGGACAATAAACGATGTGTCATTGTCCCCGTTTTACAGGCGGGGAAACCAACGTCCCAAAAAGGTGAGTGGTTTGCCCTGGGGACTTCAGCTGGCGCACAGAGCCAGGAGGTACCCCCGGGTCTGTGCTACGGCAGAGCGCATGCCTGGCACCACCGCCCTCCACGGCCCCTCCTCACGGACGGCTCCAACCTCCCCGGTGGCCATGGTGGGATGGAGTCGGGTGCAGAAACGGGGATTAGCAGCCTGGCTTTTCTGGCTGAAGTCTGGAAAATGAGCTCTCACTGTTGGCCCAGAGTGCATCTACTTCTTTCTACCACATTCCCCAACGGGCCGCATATACTCAGCTCAGAGCCTTGAGGGGGGGAGGGGGGAAGGGCCAGCCCACGCCCAGCCCCATCAATCTAGGTGGCATGGACTCCCTCCTAGAGCTTTCTCAAGAGGCCGCATTCCCTGCAACGGGGCAAGAATCCAAGAGGACCCCCCCTCAAAGGGGAGACAGAGGCAACGCTCCCCTGCTCCCCGCTTGAGGAAGCCCCGTGAGCCGCTCTTGCTCCTCAGAGCCGCATGGACAATCGCAGAGAAAAACCAGGACATTCCCCCCCACCAGGATATTTTGTATGCTTTGCACTTGCTGCTGTGTTTCCTTCATCTAAGAGCTCTAAAATTTCAAATAAAAAGGTACAATGAAAGCAGCAGCAGGATAAATAGCCCCAGTGATCTGAGCCGAAAACCCTGGAAGCTTTATTCACATCTTTAGAAAAACTCTGAAGGCTCCTAGTAGCAGCTGCAGGTACAAAGCCTCACACTTTAATTCTAAGGCTGCCAGAAATAGGTCTGTCAGGCCTGAAATATCACTGCATTTCATTACTCTTAAATGTGCATTACCATCTCTGCCTCATTACCAGCTGGGGGGGGGGGTATTCTCCAGACCAACTCCAGGGAGAACCGGGGACCTGTGGGGAAGGGGAGAGCACCGGCGTGGGGCAGAACGTGGGGACGGGAGGTGAGATGGGAAAGCCTCGCAAGGACCGGACTAGAGGGAGGCCCACGGAAGAGGAGGAACCTGTTATTAACATGTCCCCAACAGGCAGGCACTCGGGAGAGTGTGATGTCACCAGCTTGGGCGGTGAGGCCCGGAGGCAGGACTGCTGGGGTGGGGGTGGGAGACGGTCTCGAAGAGCAAAGAATGGGGCCTGAAGGAGCCCAGGGTAGAGGGCTAGAGGGCGCGGAGGCCTTCACCGCCTGGCGGCAGGACCGAACCAGTCAAAGGCAAATTAGGCCGGCAAGACCCGGGGAGCCTAGAGTCGGAGGCACAAAGCAGCCTGTGAAAAATCCTGGAGGGAGACGGTGCTGGAGGGTTGGAAGTTTGGAGCCCGGAGCAATCTGCATGTTTATAATAAAACTGACACTCAGGGCAGCGCTGAATAATTCAGTAGGCACTGTGATCTCCTTACAGTGCGTGTCCCTGGGGTACAAAGGGAAGGGGCTGCCTTCCCCCGGCTCTCTGAAAGGGCGTGACAGATGGGCCAGTGCTGGCCACCACCCAGTCACGCTTTGCATGGTGATTGGTTTTCAAAGGAGGACAGGGTTTGTGAATGGAGCCGGCTTGTTGCTTGCTGCCTTCAAATGGACGCTGCTGGGTCGCGTGGCCAGCTTGGGCCCCCTTGTGAATGGGGCATTGCCAGTGGGTGGTGAACAAGCCAGAGGTGACTCCCCATTCCCTCCCCCTGTCACTGCTGAGGCTGAGGCGAGGGGAAGGGCGAAAAGTGCCCCTGACCCTTCTCTCTGCTGACAGGTTTAACCCTCCGTTGGTCTTCCTCTGTGCTAGCCCTGTTCAGTCAGAATCAAATTTGGCTGCATAAACCAAAAATAAAAAAAAAGATGGAAGTTTATTTTCCCCTCGCCTAAAGACATCTGAAGATAATCAGCACAGACCTAGTTTGTAGCTTCCAAAACCATTAGAGACCTAGGCCCCTTGCATCTCGCAACTCTACCATCCTTAGCCCCTACACGCCACTCCTGGCCCAACGCGGCTGCTCACACTCCAACATCACGTCCACATTCCAGCCATTCGGAATAAAAGATGGGAAGAAGGGGCCCAGGGTACATGCCAGCCATATTTTGCAATTTCCCTGAAGCTATCGCACCAAAGCTTATACTTAATAGACCACGACTTAGATGGTTATACCTAGGTGTAAGAGAGACTGAGAAATGTATTGTTTGCTTCCCATGGCCGTGTGTTTGTCGGCAGACAGTTCTTCGCGGTTCTATTCCATTTCTTTTTGTCTTACAAGTGAAACACTCACTGTCCTTTGCTCCAGGCTCTCATTTCCAGGATAGCAAACATCCACAGAAGGTATAGAGTGCCTTCCTCCAGAGCAAAGGACAGACGTGCTGCCCATTCTAAAAGATTTTGTTTCCCCCAAGTTTGCCTTCCTCTCCTGAAATGCAACCTGCGTGTACCCAGGCATCACCTGGCCCTCTTTGTGAGGCCTATGGGAATTGAGGCTGAGCCTGTTCTACTACTATTGCTGTGAACAATAACATGTCCCTCATCTCTGACCCAGGAGCCTCAGCTCCTGGGTCATATACATGTGGAGATATAGGGGTGTGTGTGTGTGTGTGTGTGTGTGTGTATGTGTGTGTATATATACACACACATACACACACATATATACATACACACACATATATGTATATGTATATATATACATACAATTGCAGATATTCATAATTGTTGACAGTCCTCAGCTAAAAATCAAAGGGATGGTAATTAAAAATCTGCCACAATTCCCTTCCTAGCTACTTGAACTGTCTACATCGGTGCCTGGTTGTTGTTGTTTTTTAATATTTGCTTATTGAAGTATTTATTTAAGTAATCTCTATACCCACTGTGGGGCTCAAACTCACAGCCCCAAGATCAAGAGTCACAGGCTCCTCCTTCCTGAGCCAGCCAGGCGCCCCCACATGGATGTTTTCAGCCGCCTCTGGCTCTTCCACAACCAAAGGGAGCGGCCTTCAGGTGAACTTCAGCCGCTTCCGGAATTCCAGCAGGTCCTGAAATGCCCAAAGACAGGGGAGAAGCACTCACTCGCCTCCTTAGTTCTGAGGGTTCACTCAGGGCCCCGTGGACCGCCTGGTCCCACCTACTCAGTGCCCAGATCAGAGGAGGGTGCTGAGGCCTCCTCTGGCTTCTGCATCCGGAATGACTTGGTGACCTTCTCCTCAGTCACCTGAACCAAACCGCTCCCCTTCTCATTCCCCACCCCATCTTCTCCAGACCCCCTCCTCCCCACTCCCCACTCCCCTCGTCCCCACCAATGTCTCCCAGGTTGGAACCCCCTAGAAACACAACCTTCAGCTGCCTGTTCTTCTGCAACTGCCTCCCTGCTCTAAGACAGTCCGCCTCCGGGCAAGCGGGCTGGGGCCCAGCCAGGCCACCTGCGTTCGCATAACCCATCCTCACCCCTACTCAGGATGCACATGCGTGTGTAGAGGAAACCACTCCAGCTCATTCCTCTTCCCCCTCAGTCTCTCTCCTCTTCATCCTGCAAACCAGAACTCCGAAGTCACCCTAACTCCTCTTACTGCTTACTCTACTCCACTATCCATTCACCGAGCCCTGCCTCTAAGTTTTGCTGGTGTCTGTCCCCTCGCCCCAGCCCCACAGCCCTGTTTCAGACCCCATTACTTCTTGCCGGGAGCCCAGGTTCCAATGAATGGGCTCCTAGCCCTCACCACCAGTTGAACAAAGCTTAAACTCCTTACTGCGGAACCTAAGACCCGGTCTCTGCTTACCAGCACGGCTCCCTCCCACCATCTCCCACAGGCCCCCCAGTCCCAGCCACACTGGGCCACCCTGCGGTTCCCGTAAACACTCTGCTCTCAGACGTGCCTGCACGTTCACACCTGCTTTCCCTTCTGCTGGGAGCACCCACCTTCTCTCCTTTCCCTGCCCCCTTCCTGGGCACCTACCACTTCCTATTCATCTTTCAAGACCCAACTCAAGCATGACTTCAGGAGATGTCCCAATGCTCCTCTACACCCCATGCAACCAGCCTCTGCCCCTTTATGCTGCCACACAAGTGTGTATACATGTTATCTCTATAAAAGCCTGCCCCCCCCCCCATTATTTGTTCACATTACCTGTCTCTTCCTCTACAGAGTAAGACCTTGGAGAGCAAAGATCAGAACTGTTCATCTTTGTGACCCCAACAGGCTCAATAGATCCTTGCCCATTGAATAAGCAGGTTCTCCCTTACTTCATTCATCTCCAATCCCAAGGCTAGCTCAGTGGTCAGCTTTGAGCAAGTAACATCGCCCGAGATAGAAGTTGCTTCCTGAGGATTGCAGGCTTGAAGATGATTCCAGGATGGAGTAAGAGGCGAAAAGGAGAATGAGGCTGGGAGGGGGAGAGAACAGGGTTTTGTCCCTCACGAAGAAGGAATGGGTACCAGGTGATAAGGGGCACAGAAAAGAGTCAGGTCCCAAAGGAAATGCAGACCTGGCTCAGATCACCTGAAGCATCATATCCATCCCATTTCCAGTATATGCATGGTGCAGGGTGGAGGGGTTCCCAGGGCCAGGAGGGGAGACCCAGTATAGGCCTCTGGATGGATTTGTACCAGATGTTACCAGAGCCCGCGAGCAGACCCAGGAGCAATCCATTGATATCGCTCAGGAAATTCAGGGCTCAAGGTGTTTCCTAGGCCCCCAGGACAGGAAGCTCAGTCCAGTGCCAGGGACACTGCCTCCTGAGTCACTGCCAACGAGAGAGACGTTACACAGTGAGATCTGGATTACATATTAAAAGGCCTCTAGCCCTAAATGCTAAGAGATATCCCAGATCGGGTCTTGGAACAGGAAAAAGGATACGAGTAGAAACATGTGAAATCCAAATAAAGTGCGTTGTTTGGTTAATAGTATTGCACCAATGTTATTTCTTCATTTTGACAAATGTACCACAGTGATGTTACCGAAGATACTAACTTTGGGGGAAGCTGGGTGAGGAGCATATGAGAACTCTCTAGACTATCTTTGCAACTTTTCTGTAAGTCTAAAATTATTCCAAATAAACTAAAACAATACACAGACTTTAAAACCTAAGCTCAAGATGTAAAAGGCACATGGGGAGCCTGGGTGGCTCAGTCAGTTAAGCGTCCGACTTCGGCTCAGGTCATGATCACAGTGTTCGTGGATTCGAGCCCGGTGTCGGGCTCTGTGCTGACAGCTAGCTCAGAGCCCGGAGCCTGTTTCAGATTCTGTGTCTCCCTCTCTCCTGTTCATTCTGTCTCTATCTCTCTCTCAGAAATAAATAAAACATTTTTTAAAAAATAAAAAATAAAAAAAATAAAGGTGAGGTAAAGGAGCAAGAGGAGAGAATATATGTTTAATTCTTAGGAATCTGAAGACCATTACTCTAGTCATTCATCCACCCAACAAATATTTATTGAGCATCTACTATGGGGCCAAGCATTGTTTTCAGAGCCGAAGATACTGCAGTGAACAAAACGGCCAAATCCCTGTCTTCCTGGAGCTTATATTTTAGTGGGTAGCAGCTTAATATGATCTAATCCCACTCCACCCTCCTGGTTCCGGCACTCAGCTCCCAAGGAGAGAAAGTGCGGCCATTTCTCAGGCCCATGAGGGTGCAGCAGGGGTTCTGCCTGACCTGAGAGGTCAGGAGACCTGAGCAGGCGCCAGGGAGGGTGCTCCGTTGGACCGACTCCTTCTTGGCTCCTACTAGACATGGAGCTACGTGCCTGGGCTTTCTAGTTCCTGAAATAAGGGAAATAGTAAGAAATCAACTTTGTCCCTCCGGAGATACGTTGAAGTTCACTAGGCATGAGAGAGTATTTCAAGTGCCTGTATTCATATGATTGCTGTAAATATTTACATTCAGGCCAAGAACTGGGTTAGGAGCTCTCTTCTGTAGTTACTACAAATCCCCCTCCTTCTGCCGTCAAAGAATCCTCAGGACGTGGAGTAGAAAAGCGAAGCGAACTTGGCGTGCTCACCCCGTGCAGGGCACCGGATCCGGCGGTCAGCGGGGACCGCTAGCTCCACGATCAAGGCCAGGGTCGGGCCCACTGCCCCCCCCCTCCCCGCGCCCCCGGGCGCTTGGACAATCCTGCCCCGGCCTCGCCCCCCGCCCCACAGCGGCCCCGGCTCCCAGGGCAGGGACCCCCACCCCCCAGCCCGGGGTCACGCTGCGCTCGCACCCGCCCCGCGCGCCCCGGGGTGCCCCCGGGGTAACCAAGGCCCCGGCCGCCCCTCTGCTGGCCCGGGCGCAGCCTCCCTCGGAGGGAAAGTTGTTGCTCAACCCTGAGGAATGCGGAGCCACAGCGGCGGCGGGAGGAAGCGGCGGGAGATACGACGACAGCCGCCGGGGACCGCGCCGGGGCGGCGCGCGGCGAACTTCGCCCGAATGTAAACAGCCGCCCCGGCCCCCGGACGCGGGCGCCGCCCGAGGTCCCCGCGGACCCGCAGCCTGGAGGTGACAACCACGCGGGCGACCGCGGGCCCAGCGTGGGGGGAGGACGGCCGAAGGCAGCCTCCCACCCCGGCCTCCCCCGGGGCCGTTCGGGAATGCGGGGCAGAGGCAGGGCCCAAGGACCCGGCAAGAGCCGCCCACGGAAAACTCCAAGAAGGCAGGGATCTTTGTCTTTTCTGTTCACGATTAATCTCCCACGCCAAAGAGTACCTAGCGAACGTGGTAGGCACTCAATACAGTTTTCCAAAGAGTGGTCTAACCCTGCCCCCACCCCTAGCCTCAGTTTCCTCCTATGCACCCGGAAAGGTTTGATCTCTGCGGCCCCTGGCAACTCGGAAACTCTAGGATGCAGAGACTAAATCCCATGTGTACTGCTGTGGTTTTGCTTTTAGTTTTTTAGGGACATTTTTAGTGCTACCCTTTATGATGTGCCAGGAGTGAATTTGACACCAGATGGCTTTTTTTTTTTTTTTTTAAATAAGAAAGAAGACAAAGGGAGGGAGAAAAATATTTTCCAACTGGCAGTGCTGACAGCATTTTGGAAGAGAATCCAGAGAGGCAAAGAGGAGCTGTTTCAGCTTGATTTTTTCCTCCTCCCGCACACTCTGCCCCCCTGGCCTCCGCCATAAACGGGGTAGATCATACTGGAGCTTTTTATAGCTGAGGCAAAGGGAACATCATCACAGGAAACTCCACCCCGAGTTGGTAGTTGCTTTGTCCTCCCTGGCTCTCACAGAGGACTGGTCCCTGAGCCACGGGGTTATGGATTCCAGCTATAGGGACGGCTCTGACTAAAGGCTGACTCTGGTGTTAATTAGAAGAACAGAGAGACACCTGGCAAATCAAAAGTTAGCGCTCCCTGCCTGGGGAACATTGAGGAAAAAAATAGCCAAAATGGCAGTGTCTTTCCTGGAATTCCTCTTCTCTTGGATCCCCACGCCCTCTGTTCACACTGCTCAGACAGAATGGCCTCGAGCTCAGTCCTTAACGTTGTGGCAAGAAGGGAAATTCCTAGAATAAGCTAGTCTGGCGGCCAGCACAATGGCGTCAACTCGGGATGCTGTAGTCAGACTGCTGGGGTTCGAAGCTTGGCTGCCCCGGACAGCGGCTTGACTCAGACAGGTGACTCTCTCTCTCCGTACAGTGGAATAAAGTCCTCACCGGGTAGGACTGTTGTGTGGATTTAATGAGATAATATGAGAAAAATCCTAGTGGTCTGCCTCTCCGATAGACCAATATGGTAGGCAGCCAACATTTTTCTTATTTGTTCAGCCTCGGGACGCCCCAAAAACTAGGACCTTGGGCTGGGTAGGCCCACTGTGGCAATGTCATCTCTGGGCCAAGGAGTCCTAGTCTGGTGGACTGGTCCCCCCTCCTCCTCCTTCACATCCAGGAGACTGGGGAACGGCATCATAGAATGAGCAGACATCATGCGTCAGGCTCAAACTTGATGAATTAGCCTTAAAGGGGTCTGGGAATTTCAGTAAAAAATAGGCCAACCTTAGCCAGAGGGGAAGAAGGGGACCCATGGGCCAGGAGAGGGCTATTGGTGCCAGGTTGGGAGGTTGTGACCAATGCAGTGACGAGGGGCTTGTAACGGCCACCCATGGCTTATAACCCTTTGGGGTGTCTGGGGGCTGTTTTGTTGATAATTGTTTCAGATGCAGTATTCTTGAATCCTTGACCAGCAAGCTCCTTGAGGTTTTGTCTTACCTTTGTATCTGCCCTACACAAACTCCAAGCAGAAGCCACACAAAAGGTCAACACTCTGGACGTGCTTATTGATTGGGTTGAGCTGTTTTTTTATGGACCAAATGTGTCCCCACAAGATTCACATGTTGAGATCCTAACCCCCGATGCGATGGTATCAGGAGGTTGGGCCTTTGGGAGAGGTGATTAGGTCATGAGGCCTTCATGAATAGGATTAATGCTCTTATAAAAGAGACCCCAGAGGGTTCTCTTGCTCCTTCTGCCACGCGAGGACACGGCCAGAAGCCAGCCATCTATGAACCAGGAAGCAAGCCCTCACCAGACACTGAAGCTCCAGCACCTTGATCTTGGACTTCCAAGCCTGCAGAACTGTGAGAAATGTATTTCTCACCTAGTCTATGGCATTCTGTTATGGCAGCCCAAATCTAGGCATGTTAAACCCAGGGAACAGGTTGGAACTCCTCACTGGATGGACAAGGCGGGACAGGAGGCAGTAGCTGGGCACTCAGACACCAGAGGGTCATCTGCTGGCCCCAAGCATCTCTCCTTCAACCCACAGGCGCTCCCTCCAAATACTCCACTCAATCTTCTCCAGCCTCTAGAAAGTCAGTGACACTTGAGTTCCCAGCCTGTCCTGCCACAGGGGAGGGCCCCCGCTACTCTGTCACTCCTAGCCTGCATGAGCCTCCAGCCCAGCTCTGTTACCACCTCTTTGCCTTTCTGGAATGAGCGCTGTACTTCCAGCCAGGACGGACCAACTGTTGCCCTGAGGCACTTTGGGGAATCTCTGTGTTGTTATTCACATGGCTGGCTGGCTCTCCCTTTGCGTCTTTCAGAAGGGTCTTCCTTCTATCAAAAGTAACCACCCTCCTAAAATTACTTTCCATTATCTTACCCTGTTTATTTTGTTATTTGCGTGATCATTGTCTCCCCAACCCACCCGGACTGAGGACTGACCATTTCAGGGACCAGGGATCTTGTCTTCTGCCCATCATTGTATCTTCGCCCCTTCACAGTGTCTGGTATACAGCAAACATCTGCTTAATGAGTGGTGACCTCCTCCCCAAGTTTTTCCTTTCTCTCGAGCATTTTCAGTCAATTCTTATCTATGAGGTAATTCTTGTGCCTCCAAAAGATGCATCAGCCTCCTTTATTTTGAAATCTTATTAATGTTACCCTTTCAGCCGTCAGCTTATTTTCCCCTCCATCGCCCCACCAACCACCCACAGCAGATACTTGGCATTTATGTGATAGTCAGGACCTCCTGGTTGAAAGCAATAGAAGACTGACTAAATGTGCTTAATCAATCAGCAAGTATATCATTTAAAAAAATTTTTTTTTAATGTGTATTTATTTTTGAGAGAGAGAGAGACAGAGCGTGAGCAGCAGAGGGGCAGAGCGAGAGGAAGACACAGAATCCGAAGCAAGCTCCAGGCTCTGAGCTGTCAGCACAGAGCCCAACACAGGGCTCGAACCCGCAAACCATGAGATTGTGACCTGTGCTGAAGTCAGAGGCTTAATCGACTGCCACCCAAGTGCCCCAGTATATCATTTTTCAGAGGCAAGGAGGGTTAATTCCCCCTTCAATAAAGTCAAGACTCCACTTAAACTTCCCGACAGCTTGTGACTCTGTCAGGCTTCCTGGCCTAGTGGGCTCCCCCATGTCTCACTGGCTAGAGTAGCATCACACGCCGGGGCCTAAACCAGTTGCTGGCCACGAGGCTGAAGCACCCTGACTGGCTGCGTAGACTTACCAGCATTCCTCTCCTGTGGCCTGGGTAGAGGACGGGTACTTTCAGGAATAAAATCAAGGCACACCAGCACAGGAAAAAAGGTAGGGAGTGCCGTCGAATCCATGAGATGCCTGATAACCTTCCAATGAATTGTTTTCCTGCTTAAGTTAGCCGGAGTTAGTTTCTGTGGCCTGTAGCCACAGAACTCTGGCGGGTGCAGATCTAGGGCTATGCGGTGACAAGTGACAGGAGCAGCGAGCGTGGCCAGGAGGGTGACATCAGCACACGTCCACGAGACAGAAGATGTGAAACAGCCCTAAAACCCAAGAAAGTGTCTGGTGGGTTTTGAAAGCTAGGTTGTTAGAGATCAGAGCCAGAGGCCATATATTTCAGGAGACCTCACTATGATTGTACCCCCAGGCTCTGTGACCTAGGGAAGGTGCTCCCATGGACGTTCAGTAGATACTGAAGTGGACTAGAATGAGCACCTTCCCTTTTTAAAACTTTTAAAAACTTTTTTATATTTATTTATTTTGGGGGCACCTGGGTGGCTCAGTCCGTTAAGCGTCAGACTTCAGCTCAGGTCATGATCTCACGGTTCATGGGTTCCAGCCCCATGTCAGGCTCTGTGCTGACAGCTCCCTCTCTCTTTCTCTCTCAGAAATAAATAAAACATTAAAAAATTTTTTTCTTAATTTATTTATTTTTGAGAAGGAGGGAGGGGCAGAGAGAGAGAGGGAGGTACAGAATCAGAAGCAGGTTCCAGGCTCTGAGCTGTCAGCACAGAGCCCGATGTGAGGCTCGAACCCACCAACTCTGAGATAATGACCTGAGCCAAAGTCAGACATTCAACTGACTGAGCCACCCAGGCATCCCAACCACACTTCCTGTTTATTTTTTTATTTATTTAAAAAAATTTTTAATGTTTTATTTATTTCTGAGAGAGAGAGAGAGTGCATGAGTAGGGGAGGGTCACAGAGAGAGGGAGACACACAATCTGAAACAGGCTCCAGGCTCTGAGCTGCCAGCACAGAGCCCGACAAGGGGCTCAAACCCATGAACCATGAGATCATGACCTGAGCCAGTCTGACACTTAACCAACTGAGCCACCCAGGTGCCCCACACCCTTCCTTTTTAAAATTCTATCCTTCCTTGGTGTCCAGGAGGCCATGCATCTAGATGGCTGGCCTCTCCCACCCATTTGTCTTCCCTTCAGGAGACTTGAGCAAGTGCACAACCCTTTCCCCCACCTCATTTCTCACTCTCCTCAGGGACATGCTGTTTTGGGCTTCCTTTTTTTTTTTTTAATTTATTTCTGAGAGAGATACACAGCATGAGCAGGGGAGGTTCGGAGAGAGGGAGACACATAATCTGAAACAGGCTCCAGGCTCTGAGCTAGATGTCAGCACAGAGCCCGATGCAGGGCTCGAACCCACGAACCGCAAGATCATGACCTGAGCCGAAGTCGGACGCTTAACCGACTGAGCCACCCAGGCGCCCCCCTGCTTCTGTTCTTGAGCAGCTCTCCCACCTCTGGACCCAAGACAACATCATCACTCAGACCTGCCCCACCCTCCAATCTGATAATCAGACCTTCCTGCTGGGACCTTAAAATTCCTTTCCTTCCTCCTGTGGGTTCCCTCCTCCCACTGCCCCCACTGAGCCTGCTTTGAAAAACTTGGTCCAGCTCCTGGCACACAATCAACATCTGACTAGTGGTTGTCGATCTGATCTCATCTTATGCTCTTCTGCCTCGTGGTGAATAGCCTGCCTCAAAGCCAGCCACTCTGCTGCCCCTTTATCTGTTTCTAGAATGTCCCTTACCCCTCTCAGTCTCTTCCTCTGAGCTGAGGCTTACTCCCCACTGCTCACTACCTGCATTCTTATTCCATGCTGTACTCACCACTGATTCTCACTGTCTCACCTCAACTAGACCTCCCTAGGGCCGAGTAAACTTTGTCATCTCTGGGGGTTTCCAATCAAGTTCCCAGAGCAGCTCTCCTAAGCTCCTGAAGCTCCCCTCCTCCCCCTGCTCACCCTTCTGCAGATAACCCACACCCTCTTTGTCAGAGGAGCAAAAGTGTTGGACACAGACATTAGTATTATCTACCTCAAGAAGACACTCAGACTTCCGGTCACAAGATGGCGGAGTAAAGCTCTTTCCATCACCTTTTTCCTTCAAAAAGCACCCCCTGGGGCGCCTGCGTGGCTCAGTAGGCTAAGATCTGACTTCAACTCAGGTCATAATCTCAGGGTTCATGGGTTACAGCCCTGCATCAGGCTCTGTGCTGACAGCTCAGAGCCTGGAACCTGCTTTGGATTCTCTGCTTCCCTTTCTCTCTTCCCCTCCTCTGCTGGCGCTCTGTCCCTCTCTCCGTATCTCAAAAATAAATAAACATTAAAAACAAATTTTACGTCTCTAAAGAAATCACCCCCAAAAAATGACAAGGAGAATAAGAAATAGAAATCCAAACTCCATCTTTAACTAAACTAGGAGACGTTTAAAATCCTGGACCACATCACGTGAAAACAGAAAGTAGATGAGAAAGTGGCAAATGACTAAGAAAGGCAGGCCCAAAACACCCAGAGTCCCATACCTCTAAGAAGCAAGCTAACTCTTCCCCCAGAACCCCTGAGAAGCTCAGGAATTGGAAGTTGCAGGTAAACTAGACAACAGGGGTCTGAAAACTCTCTTAAATAGTTCAAAGATCTATTTAAAAAGTGATTCGATAGTCAGGAAAGTCAGCTGTACCCAACACAACCAAATGACTTATGTGTCCCCTCCCCCCCGACTCAGGAAACAGGAAGATGGATTCTGGAGATGTTGCACTTTCCTGGGGGTGGACGTGGAGAAGGAGGGGAACAAAAACCGAGCTAAAGTCAGCATTCTGAATTGTGTTCCTCAGCCTGCTTGTCACACCCTGCTCCCCACTTCCCATGCTCTACCCTGCTCTAGGACTCTAGCAGGTGGTGGGCTTCAAGCTAGAGAGGAGACCAAAGGAACTTTCCAGAAAAACAAACAAACTTATGCCACTGATCCTGATGTTTGGGGCTCCTGAGTGAAAGGGTCCAGCCAGCCACCTAACTGCCCTACCGCGAGCCCACACTGAGCACTTCCAAGAGTGTCCAGTGCCTCCTTCTCAAATAGAACGGACAGCCAAGGCAGACCAGACATCTGTGGAAAGTCTACAGTGTGATACAAAGCAAAACAACAGAAAATGTGAAATCAGGGGAAACAGAGACAATATAGAGAGAAGAACATTTCAAATTAATATCCCCAGAGAGATGGTACTGCATGCATCCAGAGAACCAAGAACATGAAACCATTCACAAAAGGAGAGAAAAAACAGGGACCATGAAAGCACTCTTGAAAATTAAAAGAAAATGGGGTTAAGCGTCTGACTTCAGCTCAGGTCATGATCTCACGGTTTGTGGGTTCGAGCCCCACGTCGGGCTCTTGGCTGACAGCCAGCTCAGAGCCCGGAGCCTGTTTCAGATTCTGTGTCTCCCTCTCTCTCTGACCCTCCCCTGCTCACGCTGTCTCTCTCTCTGAAATAAATTTTTAAAACATTAAAAATTAAAAAAAAAGAAAGTTAAAAGAAAAGGGTTCATGACAACACACTTAGTAATGGATTGGAACATAACATGGAGGAAATCTCCCAGGAAATAGAAAAAAGAGATGGCCAACAAGAGAGAAATAATAAAATCGGAGGATCAATCTGAGAGGTCCAGTATCCAAATAGTAGGAGTTACAGACATTCCAAAGAAATAATGAAGAAATTCCCAGAACTAACAGGTCTATATTGTTAAAACAGAGGTTCTTAAACTTTCATATGCTTATTAAAACCCAGATTATATGTATCAAGTATTATATATAAATATATATTAATATGTAATATTATTCAGCCAATTCAACATATAGTGAAGGAAATCTTGCCCCTGTGACAACAGGGACGCACTCTGAGGGCATTGTGCCAAGTAAAGTAAGTCAGACAGAGAAAGACACATACTGTATGATCTCACTTATACGTGGAATCTAAAAAACAAACAAAAAACCAAGCTCATAGACACAGAGAACAGCCCAGTGGTTGTTAGATGAAAGGGCTGAGGTGAACAAAGTGGGTAAAGGGAGTCAAGAGGTACAGACTTCCACTTGTAAAATAAATACATTTCAGGGACATAATGGACAGCATGGTGACTATAGTTAATAGTGCTGTATTGCATATTTGAAAGCTGCTATGAGAGTAGATCTTAAGAGTTCACGTCATAAAAGAAAAACACATGTAACTATGTAAGGTGGCAAATGTCAACTAGACGTATTGGGGTGATCATTTCACATTTGTACACACAAGGTGTACAAATATCAGATCATTCTGTTGTACACCTGAAAGTAATATGATATTATATGCCGGTCATCTCTCAATAAAACAACAACAACAATACAGGTTGCTGGGAAGTAACCAGAGTTTCTATTCACTAGATGGGTGGCCGAGGGGGCTCACAATGCACATAGCTAACGTCTTCCCTCCTGTGAGTGGTACTGATGCTGCCAGTCTGGGACCACACTTTGAAAACCACTGTTCGATTAAAAAATCTATCAAGTGCCATGAAAAATGACCCATGCCGATACATTGTGATGTTTTTGTTTTTATTTTTAAGTTTGTTTGTTTGTTTGTTTGTTTTCTTATTTGTTTTGAGAGAGACAGAAACCGTGTGAGTGGGGGAGGAGCAGAGAGAGGGAGAGAGAGAATCCTAAGCAGGCTATGCCTGCCAGCAAGCCTAAAGCGGGGCCCAAACCCACGAAATCATGAAATCATGACCTGAGCTGAAACCAAGAGCCGGAGGCTTAACCAACTAAGCCACCCAGGCGCCCCTGTGATGTTTTAATATATCAGGGATAAAAGAGAAAATCCGAGAAGTCAGAGGTGGGGGAGGGAGGTGAATTCAAAGTCTTGGGAATCAAAATAGCCTGGGTCTTCTCAAATGCAACATCTTATTTATTTTATTTTTAATTTTTTTCAACAGCAACATTTTGCAAGGCAAAGGAGCAAGGTCTTCAAATTTCTGAAAGAAAATTATTTTCAACCTAAACTTCTATACCCAGCCAAAAATATTAATCAAGAGCGAGGGTGAGTAAAACCATGTGATGTATGCAAAAGGCTCTAAAATGTTATACCTCCCAGGCATTCTTTCAGGAAGCTACTGGAAGATCTGGAAGATGTGTTTCATCCAAACAAGGAAGTAAACAGAGAAAGAGAAAGACATTGAGTCCCTGAGAGAGGAAAAGGACAAAGGGAACTTCCAGGGTGACAGATGTGCCACAGACCTGGAGAGCAATGCATCCAGAGAAAAGCGGAAGGATGGAGCGCCCCAGGACAAATGTCTCCACGGAAAAACAAAACAGAACCGGTAAGATTATATGACAGGTTTGGCCATATGCAAAATTGTACTGAGAAGGCGTTTCACAGAACTGTTGAAGGGTGTGGGAAGACAGAGCCAGAGATTCAAAGAAAACCAAGCGAAGGAAAAAATGAGGCAATTAACTCCAGGAGAAACAAAAAAAGTTGTACAAGAAAGGAAATGTAAACACAGCATTCAACAAAAAGTTATATTAGAAGAGGAAATGTAACCAGAATACTTGCCTCAAAAGTAAATAAGATCTACAAAGTCAATAACGAAATCACTGAACATGGATTTAACCATAAATTATGATATAAACATAACGGGGGCAGGGAGCGGGAAGAGGAGACTAAGAGAATCAAAATCCTCATCCTGCAGAACGAGAAGTCAACAAATTGGATAGACGAATCCAGAATGGCAGTGCATATATCATTTAGAAATAAAGAAGGAAATACCAGAAGAAACAGCTAAAACAGTTGAAAGTGCTTGCCCCTAGGGAGTAGGATAAAGATTGGGAAAAAGGCCAGGGGACTTCTGTTTTTGTCACAGCCCTTTAGAACTATTTGATTTTTTAAGCTATGTGTATGTAGTGTCCTGATTAAAATAAATACTGATTTCATAAAGCAGCTATAAAAGGAGGCGTCACATCCTCCAATACAGAATTCCTTGCAGGGCCCTCTATGGACTCCAAGGAACACCTTCACAGGTGGCATTATTCATCAGCTCAGCCCTCCTCCTCTCCCAAATGCAATCTCCCCATTTCCTCCTGTTCTGTCAACCATCACCCAAGTGGCTGGCTGTATGCCAACCCTACTGAACTGGCAATTTCCAGAATGTGCCTCTGGGACTTTGCATGCACTCTGCCTTCTACCTGGAAGGCTATTCTTTCCTTCCCTACTCTCGGCCCAACAGATTAAGGATTGGTTTATACTTCAGGCCTCAGTTTAGATAACACTCTCTCTTTAGGGAGCCTCCTCCCCCACCTAATCTGGGGGAAGTGCTCCTCTCTTACACAGCCCCGCTCTCCAGATGCTCTCAGCACTCCAGCGCTCTGGCAAATGCCCCTCCCTTGTGTGGCTTTCCCACTAGACTGTAAGCTCTTGGAGGTCAGGAATCCGGTCTTACAGTAGCCCCAGGACAGACTGGTGATTTTGCAAGTCAATGATTTTGCAAATGACTGAATACGCCACTCAAATTTAGTAAGGGCTCAATAAATGGTCGAATGAGTGAATTAATGATTCACCAAAAAATGAAGCCCTCTCCCTCCACCCAAAATATGCTTCCCTTCCGCCATCTCCACTCTCCCATCTACTCTCCTTTCTACAAGGTCACACCTCTCCAGCAGGTTGGCTGTGGCTGGTGCCTCACCTTCCGATCCACTCAGTCCCTTCTCAACCTCAAAAAGAAGCCAAGGCCCCTTGGTGTGAGCAGAGTCAGCATCCGTACAGGGCTTTCTGTGTCAGTTGGCACTACAATGGAACTACAATGGAGTGAACAGTTTAGGGACTATCTGCCCAGCCCAGAAAGAAAGCAATCCCCTCCTAGTGTCCCTGTCCCCAGATCCAAAGTACAGCTCTCAGAGGTCTGGAACCCAGGCTAACCAGAGGGAACATGGTTAGCTCTTGACTTCGGTCTGCCTAACAAGGATAGACAGTGTCCTAAACTCAGCGATTGGCTCGACCCAGTCTTCCTGCCTCCCTGTCCACTTTGCAGGCCAAGGGGAGCTGGCTTCCCTTGGTGATTGCCTGCTAGTGTCTTCCAGTGGTAAAGGTTTGCGGCCAATGCCTGGGGTGCAGGGAGGGCTGGAGGTAAGAAACCTGAGTGCTCAGTGTGGCCCAGAGACACAGTAGACCTGGAGGGTAAAAACTCGCCGTGGATACTCCCAGGGCTCTAGAAGCCAAAGCAAATCTGGCCTACACTAGGTCCAGGGAGAAGGGACCAGATTGCAGCACTGGAAAGCCTCTAGGTCGCCGGGTCAGGGGCGTTCTGCCGCCCCACCCCCACTGCGCCACGTGACCTCAAAGGGCCGCCGGGAGTTTGGAATGTGGCGACCCTAGTCGTGCCCCCAGAGGGGCCGGTCGAGCGGCGGTGGAGCGAGGGGCCGCACCCGGCCCGGAACGAGAGGAGGGGTGGGGGTGGGGCGCAGGAAGGGTCCCTTCTTTCCTTTCCCCACCGCGCCACGCAGGCTTGGGGGGGGGGGCGGGGGAGCAGCGAGGGAAGGAGGAGGTTTGGCTTCGTCTAGCGAACCTGTAAATACGGGCCGAGAAACTCGATCTGCTCCAGTCCCTTCCCTATTTAGAAGGTCTGGGAGCCTGGCGATCAGTGGCTGCTGGGGGCGCAGGTCACGTGGCCACCTCCGACTAAGCGATGGGGAAAGGGGGAGGCTGTGCTCGGGAGGAGCCTGGATTGAGGGAGGCCGGAGTCCAGACCTGGCCGGCAGGCTCCCACCCCAAATAGTACCATTTGTCTTGATTTTACACTTTTGCACAGTGACCGTGGAGTGGGGAGATCCAGGGTCTGCCTTGCGGCAGGACCGCCCACCCAACGGGCCCTTTCTGACTGCCTGGGCCAGGTGTGTCTGTAGGTCTCACCAAGACTCTCCCAAAGCCCAGGGCAAATAGGACTCCGGAGTCCTAGGCTCTTGTGCCTGTGCTGGCGGTTAGGCTCCCAGGCTCCACTCTGGGTCAGGGACTCCTACTTCCTGGGTGGTAGAGAAAGCCCTAGGAGGCTGGCACCCTGCCTCCCCGCCTTCCTGACTCAATGCCCCAGGAGATAAGCAGTGCCCCAGGAGGAAGATGTCTACTGGCACTGGTTTCCTACCAAGCCTACTGTGTGCCAGGCTCAGTGAGAGGCATTAGACGTGTAGAGAAAAAAAAGACAGTACCTGCCCTCAAGGAACTTATACGGGGCGGGGGGCGGGACACGACAATCCAGTAAACCAGAATGAAAATACAGGAGCACAGAGAAGCATCTAAGAATCTAAGACAGATGTGGGAGGATTTGAGGAAGCAAGGCATCCAGGCAGAGAGAACAGCCCATGCAAAGGCATGGGGCAAAGGGTGTCAAAGAATCACAGGTGTTGAGATTCTCTGGACAGAAGCATGAGTGGGTGCGCGGAAGGTGTAGGAGATAGGGTAGGAAAGCCAACGCGAACCCGATCTTGGAGACCATTTGAAAGTTACACGTAGATAGGATGAGATTTGCATCTTCTAGCGGTGCTAGGATTCAAATTTGGGACCTGGAGAAAGTTTGATTAGTAGCCCGTTGCCAGCCACCCTTGAGGTAACCAGCAGGGAATGTGAGGAAGGAAAAGGCCTGGGATGCCTGGGTGGTTCAGTCAGTCAAGCATCCAACTTCAGCTCAGGTCATGATCTCATGGTTGGTGGGTTGAAACCCCACGTCAGACCCTGTGCTGATGGCTCAGAGCCTGGAGTCTGGTTCAGATTCTGTGTCTCTCCCTCTGCCTGCTCCTCCCCCACTCATTCACATTCTCTCTCTCTCTCTCTCTCTCTTTCCCTTTCTCCTTGTCTCTCTCGAAAATAAATAAACATTAAAAAAAAATTTTTTTAAAGAAGCCTGACAAATACCTGGGAAGGGAAGAGTCACTGGTCCTCTGGACATGAATCGGGAGGAAGAGGCTTAGGTGACTTCAGGTTTCTGGCTTGGGGAACTAAGCAGATGTAGAAGGAACAGGTCTGGAGGAAAGGTTGATGAGGGAGACAGTAATATTTATTAAGCACTTCTAGTGTTTCAGGTACTACCACTCCACATATTATCTCATTTAATCTTCACAATAACCTATGAAGTAGGTACTATTGGTATCCCCATTCTAATATGAGGAAGGCAGTCAAAAGCTTAAGTTAACTAGGTGGTAAGGTTAGGATGCCTGCACTTTGCAGAGTTCATCTTCCCAAATCTGAAGCCCCAGTGAGGGGTCCCAGGCTCCTCTGCAGAGAAGCTATGCCCACTACCATTAGCCCCTCCCCAGCCCCCAGTACCCCCACCAACTGTCCAGTCACGGTAACTGTGACTGGTTCTCACAGTCACTGTGAGGTTCTCCCTCCTTCATGCCAACCCACCCCACGTCCCTCTCGGGACCTTGCCCTGAGCAGCCAGGACAGAACCCAACAAGCCTTGCCGCCGGAGGGCCCAGGGCTCTGGAACCCCAGTGCCGAGACCCCACCTTCCTAGTTACAACACAAACCGGAACTGAGACTCTGCAGGAAGAGAGAAACCAAGAAAATGGATGTGTTCCGTCTGTAATAAAAATAAACATTTTTTTCAATGGAACATTTCAGTGACATCAGAAGGTCACGAAAGGTCTTCCTTGGCCCAAGCCGGTGTTTATTTTCTGTGGCGAAGGGGGGCTGGGTTCTGGAGCGGCAGGCCTCTCCCTGAGGGGAGGCCCCTCCAGCTCTGTTTCCCTTTCCCAAACCTTGGCTCAGGAACACCCAGTCCAACTCTGAATAGCCACAAGAGACAGACAAGGACAGCCGCTCCATGAGCCCCATCCTCACCACCACACTGTTCCGGCAATTGGTGGTGACTGGGGGGGTGGGGGGTGCTTCTGTTTTCACACCGCTTCTCACCAGCCCAACAGGTGAGGTAAAGGTGAGGTAAGGGATAAAGTAGGTAGGTGAGCTTTCCCTTGGGAGAGCTGTGAGGCCCAGAGAGCCCTGGCTTCCACTCTCACCCCTGAACCTAACTGAATAGCTACCCAAAGGCGCACAGTCAGCACTGGCCTAGAGGCAGGAGGTTATTGAAGAGGCTGCTGTAGGCAGAAGTGGGCATGTCCACTTCCCCCTCACTTCCCACACCCCCTTAACAGAGGCCTTTCTGGTCTAGAGACCTGTAATCTGGGGGCAGAGCAGTAAGAGGCCCATGGCCTCTCCATGTTTGGGGCTTCCAGGCTCCAGGAAAGCCGGCACTGCCTTTTAGTTTCTGGAGGCACAAAGGTTCCCAACCAGGACTCTCAGAGACCTTCCCTCATCTATCCTCCCCCCACCCCACCCCAGCCCCACTCTGGCTTCTATTTGCCCCCTTGTGCCTCTCTAGTCTTGGGAGGGTTTCTGTCTATTTTCTTATACACAAACCTTTCTTTGACCTCATCACAATGGCTACTTGAGCGCCATCTCCTCTGTGTCCATTAGGGACAGTTTGACCACACACAGAGAAGGCATCTACGACAGACAGAAAACGACAGCAGTATTGTGCCAACCAAAAGTCACAGCCTGGTAGTGGGTCATGACATCAATTTAGTGGGTCATGGACAGCACCTTAAAAACGTGAAATAGAATACAATAGAGAACATCAGAGTGCACGTAGATGGCAAGGGTAACTACTGCCCCGTGAAAATTGTTTCCGTTATCTTGCAGTATAAAATGTGCTGCTTGCTGTGTGTCTCTGAACCCCTCTTCAAAAGAACACCGGTTAAGACATGGAGTCAAGGCTCATACAGCAAACATACAAGGCTGCCTGCTCTGTGACAGGTACCATGCGAGGTACAAGAGACACGCTAATAAATAACACATTACTCATTAGTCTCAATTCATCTCAATCCATCTTCTGGTTGGGAAGCCAATAATCAAACTGCCAATTGCAAGACAAAATGTTAAGTGCTCGAAGAGAGTATGTAGGAAGCTATAAAACCCTGATGTGAGAGTGGGTCTCTGGGAGGACTTCTCAGAGGAGGTGATATAATTACAGTTCTTAGCAAGGAAAGACAGTGACCAGATTCTAGTATTTCTTCCATTCTATACATAGGAAATTAAAAAAAAAAAAAAAGAAGAAGAAGAAGAAGAAGTCTAGGCTTGCCTCCTCTTAATAAGCTTGTGAAAGACCTTGGGTAAGTCAATTAACCTTTCCAGACCGTGTTTCCTCATCTACAATACAGGCATAAAACTGTTCTGTCAACGTCAAAGAAATGAGAGATTAAGAGAGACAGTGTCTGTGTAAGTACTTTGTAAACAATAAATGAGGGAGGGATTGTCTCTGCAGATGAGAAAATGGAAGCTAGAGAGATGAAGCGTCCTGCCTACCACTACAGAGGTGGGGGTGGCAGATCCCTCTGAATCCTCAGTTCTCCGCTCCTCCCTGCACTCTCCCTCCTCCCACCCAGACGGAACTACCTTGCACAGGGGCAGGGGGCAGGGCCCAAAAAGGCCCTGTCATAACCTAACTAATGAAGATTTACCTTCAAGAATCCTATTGGTTTAGTGATCTTTGAATAATGATGGGAGAGAAATATGTAAGAACTCCTCCCTTTCCCCTTCCGTTAACAAATTAAGATCTACCCAAACTCAGTTTTTAAAGTTACATAAGCATCATTCAGATCTTCTGTAACAGCTCTCATTTTGGAAAAACAGCATTTCCATTAAAACGGTGTTATATAAAAAGGTTTTGTGTATGTGTGTGTAGGAACAGAAGAAACAGGCCCACATGAGCACTATGAAGGCACACAGGCTGATACACATCACAACCACACGTGTCCCCATGGAGGAGGGACCGTGAGGGTCAGGCATGTGATGGTACCTGGGATCTGCAAGAGGGAAGGCCATCAGCTGCTCCCACCTGCCAGAGACCAGAGAAGTCCTTACCTTCTGGAAGCCCCTTCCTTGGTAGGTGAGTTACATTAAATCATGGACTGTTAGAATTGGAATTAGCGCACAAGTCACCAATTGCAGTCCCACCCTACATCACCCCTGTCAATGTTGAACAGTTCCCTTCCTCCCAAGGCAGCCCACGTCACCTGTGGACAGATGTAGCTCCTGGGAAGGACCTGATATTGAGTTGAAACTTGCCTTCTAGAGCTTCTTGGGAACAAGCGCGCGCGCGCCCCTCACCTACAGCCTTGAAAGTCCAGGAGCCATAGCCAAGAGAGGGTATCTGAGGCCTAATAGTAAAGCGGGAGGGCAGCATTGAGTGCACTGAGCAAGAGCTCTTCCCTTAGGGACCTCTATCCATCTAAACTGAGGTTGGGACTATAGGGTTGGGGGGGTGGGGAGAGGAGTGTAAGCCCTGAATGGGAATGAGTGAGTGGCTTTGAGCAAAGCCCTGCAATTCATGTCTCATTTGAAGCGGAGGGAGGGAGCGGTCAGACCGTCCCGAGACCAGTTCCAGTTCTGATATTCTGGGATCCTGAGTCCGCCTCCCCCTCACCCCCAGCAAGACATCCCTTTCGGGATTCAGTGGTTGTACTCTTTTACGTGAAACTGTGGGTTCACAATTCGAGGGCCAAGCAGGAAGAAAACTGCCCCGAACCTTCCCATCCTGACCCGACCTGAGTTAGACTTCGCGGCTTGCCCTGGTTACCTGAGAGGAGACGGACAGACGTGAATACACAGCACAGAGTAGGGAAACGTGAGCTTTGGAGTGTCCTTTTAAGTAGTTGGGAAGGGGGTGTGGCCGAGGTTACTGGGAGGCTGCAGCCGGGCGAGGGGGGAGTGGCCCGGGGGCGTGGCCGCAGCGACTGGAATGTTGTTGGGTCCTCGCACCGCATAGTAAGGAGGGGCCACGCCCCTTTCTCCGAGAGGGCCAATCGGAGCGCCGGAGCGGTTTCAAGTCTCCCCCTCCAGCCTGCCCGCCCGCCACCCCACCCCCCTCGGGGATTCGCTTTTTCCGTAACAAAATAGCAAAGCTCCGGATGTTCCGCAGCTCCCGCAGCTCCCAGGTGGAGGGGCCTGGGGCCTAGGACGGTGTTCCGGAGCCGCAGGCACAGGCCGGCCGTGGAGAGGCCGGGTGCGGAGCCAGGAGGCGCGCGGGGGTGGGCGCTGCAGCCGCGGGTTGTTTATCCGGAGTACGGAGGGGAGGGGGGAGCCTGGAAACCGCCCCGTGTCCCATTTCCTCCTCTTGTTTTCGCTCCGGATTCTCCATGTTGGACCCAAACTGAGGAGCCCGGAGCTGCTGCCGGGGGATCGGGGCCGGGGGGAACCGGGGGAGCCGCTGCCCGGGCCGCCCGCCCTCCATACAGGCCGCCTCCCTTCCCGGCCCAGGGAGGAAACGAGAGCAGGGATGTGAACAGCTGTGGGAGTCCGAGTCTCGGGAGCCGGAGCCGGAGCGGGCCCCCGCCCAGGCCCCCCAGCCCAGCCCAGCCTGAGCGCCCGCCGGTCCTCCCGCCCAGCCAGCCCGGGCCCGCGGGATTGTTAGATGGAACACGGCTCCATCATCACCCAGGCGCGGAGGGAAGACGCCCTGGTGCTCACCAAACAAGGTAGGGGCAGCAACTTCCCAAAACTTTGCGTCGCCCCCGGGCGGGTGGGGGGCTACACAAGCCCCGAACCCAAGTCCCGGCCCCTGACCTCTTGGGGATCGGAGCCGAAGGCTCCGACCGGACTCCCTAGTCCATCCGCCCCCGCGTCTCTGTTCGCACTCCGACCCCAGTGGGGGCGGCGCGGGGCCCCGGCTCCTGGCGCCCGAGGGGGAGGGGCGTCATCCGCGCAGCTGTCACCCTGTCCTGCACCCCCTCCCCCCGTGTAGAGAGACTGAGGAGTAGCGCCCGGAGCGCGAGTCGCCCGCGTCCGTCCCCTCCTGAGTTGGGAGGTGGGGTCGTCACTTTCCCGCACGACTGCGCTCAGCCGCCCCAGAACCGCGGGGAAAGAGGTGGGAAGGGGGACGGAGGGGTCCCGAGCTGGAATAGAGCCGGAACTGGAGTCCAGCGCTTCCCAGCGGCTCCCTCAGCCCGAGGTCTCTCTGGCCGCGGGCAGGGACGGCGTCCTGCGGGACTTAGGACCAAGTTCACCGTCTGGAGGCGGGGGCGGCCGCGGTGGGGGAGGGGCCGAGCCTGCGGGACCTGACTGGCCCGCCCGCGGCCCTGCGCTGGGCCCGGGACCTCGGCGGCGCGGCGCTCGGGCTGGGCTGCCTCCTGCCGCGTTAGTTGAGCCCACGAGTCCGACCCCGAGGCCCGGCCAGAGCCCCTCCCTGCCCCGGTGCGCTTCCCCAGGGCCGCCGCCACACACACAGAGCCGCGTTTGTTTAGCCCGGGAGCGGTGTCCCTGGTTACATAATTCGCCGGATGGCACCAGACCCGGCGTGTTTCTGAATCGCGCAGCGAAAAAGTGCGAGTTCTCCGTGGGCAGCAGCTCGCGGCCCCCGCCTTCCTGAGGGTCAGGTGCAGACGCGAGGGGGTCGCGGGCCCTCGCTGGGGTGGTCTTCGGACGGGAGCTGGGTGAGGCCTTGGCCTCTTCCGAGGGCGGGGAAAGGTCGGGCCTGAGGGTGGAATCTCTCAGTTTGGTCATTGGAAGCCCCGAAACTACCCCCCCCCCATCACGTTCCTCCTCGAGCCTTGAGGAATGTGTCTAAAATAGTGTACCGAATTTCTGCCATGAGTAAGGACTAGCATCGGTTTGGGGGTCTGTTTGTTATTTTTGTGTTTTGTTTTTGTTTTTTTCTGGAGAACTTCCCGGACTGAGGCCACCTGGCCCTGAGACTGGGGAAAGCACGCTCTTGGTACTAAATCTGAAGCGTTCCTGCCCTTCCCTCGACCCCCCAGAACGGGTCGTGCAGGGCCAGTACTGCAATTGAACATATCAAGGCCTAGACCCTGGTGGGTGGCCAGCCGCAGGGCCTCGGTGTCGCCCACATCCCCCTATTTGGAAACATTAGTCAGCAGGTCACTTATTCTTGGGGTTCACAGTCCCAAGAAGCTCTCCCAATCTGCCTAGGGGCAGAGGCTGCTAGTATCAGCCTTTCCCTAATTCCTGGAGGGGGGGTGTCACTGTGTGCTTCCTGCATTGCTGTCCCTTCTTTAAGCTTGCCCTGAGGAGGGGGAGAGCTTTGCCTATTCAGATCCCCACCCCCCACCCCCCAAAAACCCCTGCCTCCCTGTGCCCGGCTCTCCTAGATGCATCACTACCTAGGCTGTGTGACCCCAGGGGCAGCCTCACCTCTGCTGGCTGCCCAGCTGTGCCAAGGCCGGAAGAGGGGAGGCTTTCTGGGTTGAGAACTTCCCTCCTGCCCGGTCCCAGTCTCATCCCAGGAGGTAGCCGTAAGTGAAGAGCTTAGCTGTGGAAGGATTCCGGGGGGGCGCCTGTGTTAATGACACGTGGGAAGAACCACCCTGTGCTTCCCTGCTCTGGTCCTCCTCTTGCAAAGGCTTCTAGAGGGGGCCTTCCTGGTGAGGAAATCACACCAGGAGTGAGACAGAGCAGGACTGCTGAAGGGGCATCTCACGTCTCAGAGCTGGAAGTTTCAACCACCAGGGCCTGTGACGGGGAACAGAACACATGACAGCAGGAAGCAGAGCAGCTGGCTTCTTTAGTGTTCAGTTGCTGATGTGGGTTGGATTTTCTTGCAGTTACGTTTTTTGTTTTCCTTTTTGTGTGTGGTTTGTCCTTCAGACTTATCCCTGGAGGAATCTGAATTCTCAAGCCAGCAAGCATGGGTCTTTCTCCATGTAATTGGACTGCATTCCAGAGAAGACCTGCTATTTTCCTGGGCTGCCTGGGCACCCAGCAACCAGCCAGCCAACTTTCCTGAGTCTCTCCTTATTTACAAATCCTGCATCCCTTGGTTTTTTTTTTTTTTTTTTTAAGTGGGGGTGGGGAGCAGATGTTTTCATGATCTCCTTTATGAGTTCCTTGTCCCTTTTCTGCCAGCATCCCATCTCTGTGCCCTGCCTCCTTTGAAAAAAGGGGAAGGGGTGTAATACAGTTTATTGATAAGTAAATTTCTAGAAGAAACTAAATTGCTCTCACCTTGGCTTTTTAGTGAAGTTGTTTGCCATTGCAGGTTTTGGGGGGTTTTTTATTTGTTTTTTTCTCCCTTCTTAGCATTCTGTTCTTGGAACTTTCAGAATGGGTTCCATTCTGAACACACTGGCTGGGTGTGTTGATGATTCAAAAGTAATTACAGTAAGGGAAGTCAAAAAAAGTTACTGAAAGCATTGATGATAAAAGGACCAAAATTGGATCAGCTTCCCAACCAGATGGGTGAAATGGCTTCCTGGTACAGCGAGCACAGGGGTGTGTGTAATATCAGAAGTGGAGAGGAAAAGTTAATACCAGTTTGGCCAGACACCGGCCATTTATTACAGCGCCGTGCGAGAGTGCAGGCCCCACTGCTGGGAGGTTGTGCCGTGGGGCTTTAGAGTGAGACGGGGGGGAGAGCCCAGGACACAGGACCGACCCTGTCACCTCTCCGTGTGAGAGGAGGGACTGGAGGCAGCCTCTTCAGAACTCAAAAGTGACCCACGGGGCGGGGTGGGGTCAGGACCTTTTTTGTTTTCCATGAGACCTAATGATCCTCCTCTCAGGGAGACGATGGGTGATGATGCCTGATGATGCTGGGATGATGCCGAGGATTGTCTCCTCCCATGAGAGGCTGCGCAGGCTCTGGTAGCCGACCATCCCTCAGAATCAGGATGGTGGCTGTTCTAGCTCTTGCTTCCTCTCCATCAGGGGGAAGTTCTGCCCTATTCTCTCGTGAAAAAGCTCAAACTCTTTTTCACGTAGTCGTAGGCAGGCCCTTCGCTTGAAAAGCTCAGAACAAATGTCGCTGGGGCTGTCTTCCTTAGCTTGCCCCTTGTAGTCCGCGATGCGGGTTTGTAGGTGGCTCCTCTCCCTGTCCAGTCTTATCCATTCTCCGTCTTGGCCTCCCTGTGGCTCTGAGGCTCCCCGCGAGTCTCCTGCGGACTTTCCCCCCCATCTTGGAGTGGGCTGGGGGCCTGTGGGGTGGCTCGAAGGCTGTGTTTGCTCCCTCTGGGATATCCCAGGAGAGTGCCTGCTCACTCTGCAACAAAGTTTGTCAATTTTTAACATCCTGAGGCTGGGAGTTTGCCGTTCTGCCACTGCTTTTGATGGGCAGAGCCCTCCCTGCCCTCTCCTCCGTGGAGAAGGACCTCGGAATTGTGGGGGGGAAAGTCCTTCTGAGCTGGCAGGTGTGGTGGGGGTCCTGGCTCCTCCCTCCTCCGCTGGAGGGGTCTTAGCGAAACAGGCAGCGGAGAAGCATTTTCATCCTCCATGGGAACGGCCACATCCTTCGTGACCGTGGGCTTTGTCAAGATGGCGAATGCTACAGAAGCCAAGGTGAATTGGCGTTCCCAGCCTCTCCATGGACTTAAATAATAGCAGTGTTTGTGAGAAGGGAAAGGGAAAGACAGACAGGATGCAAAAGTATACGTATCTGTATACAGACCTATGTCCCTGCCTCTTCCTCCTCAACTTTCTCTCTGCTGGCTTCTGGGTAATTAGGAACAGTGTCTTTTATTCCCATCTTGGGAAGTTTGGTTGTTGTGTTGGATGAAACGGGAAGGGGTGGAGGGCAGGGGCAGCAAAGTGTTCATTGTTGCTGCAAAGAATGGTTCTAGGAGCAGAGTTCGTTGCTTCAGGCCTGGGTGCACATCCCTGCTTTTCCTATTCACATTTTCGTGTTCCGCGTGACCTATCTGTGAAATAGGAATATTGATATTTACAGTTCTGTAATGCCTGGTACTTAGGAAATGATTGATAAACGTTAATGTCCTTTTTTACACAGCTAGACCACTACTCTGTTCCTCCTCCATTTCCCCAAGGACACAGTGCAAACAGCAAGGGGTCATGTGGGTTTTATTGTTAAAGACAGGTGGCTGGGGGTCAGAGGGGACACTGATGCGGGGACTTGGGCCTTCTGGAAGGATCAACCTCTGAGGCTCACAAACAGCCTTGCTGCACAGACCCCTTCTTTGTGCCTGTGTGACTTGGGATGGGATTTTATCTGCACTAATGGGAGTAGCATGTGCCTTAGGGCATCTGCCACTCTGCCAGGTGTCTGGGCATCTGGGGGTGGGAGGGGGCCAGGGAGCTGTGCCCTCCTGTGCAGAGTTTCTGAAGCCCAAACCTTCTGAGCAGTTGGCCCAGCCTCTCAGAAATGGGTACAATGAACACTTGGGGCAGCTGTGTGGTGCATTCTCATCCTGGCCGCATTTGCCTTAAGACTTCATGGATGCAGGGAAATTCACATTTCTTTCAGGGAATTCTAGTAACAAGGAGAGAAATAAAAACTGGGATTTTGAAGAGAAATACATGCTCTTAAGCTGTGTCTTTGCTGCTGTGGTTTGGGGGTACAACATTGAGAAAGCACAAAAAGCAGCATTAAATTGCTTTTCATCGTGTCTCAGGCCAGCCTGCTTGCAAAGCACAGAATTAACTCACTTGTCTTGGGGTCATGGGATTGGGTGTGGCCCTGACATAATTCCCTCCCTCTTCTGAAATGGAGGCATAGTTCCCAACTGGAAAC